CCTTTGCCGTTTCCGGGTCATCTGTTGCCCGACGATGCAATGCTGCAAGAGTTTGTGCCACCGCTGCCCCGAGAGCCAGTGTTGCATTCACCTGAGCCGCCCGCGCCTGTAGCGGCCACTCCAGGGCAGCAAGCAGAAACTCCGATGCAAGTTGAAACGGCCTCGCCACTTGTGTCGTTCGATGATGGGCCTGGGATTGCTTCTTCGTCCTCTGGGATAGCACGTCCTGCGACTGAGGAAGCAGGCGGGGAAGCTCCAGCCCGAAAGAAACTTCGTCTTGATGCTGTTCAGACAAGTGCATATGACTGTGAGATGTTCCATCATGATGAGGCTCCAGAGCTTCTTGATGAAAGTGCAGAGCAGTTTCTTGACTGTCAGGATGAGTCCATTTGGGACACCGAGGATTGGGCTGATGACTCAGCCAATGCACCTGACATCCCGAGTATTTTGATTAAGCCTTTCAGTGAAACTGAGCCAGTGTGCGATGCATCCGAGCTTGAAGCCATTGATGCTGCAGCAGATTCCTTTGAGCTTGAGCGGTTGACAAAAGCCGGTGTTCTTGAACAAAGTGAGTCCTGGCTTGAAGGGCATCGGACATTGTCTTCAAAGTACGTTCGCACCTGGAGGCCTAAAGTGATCAATCAGGAGCGCGTTTGGTTGCGCAGAGCCAGGTTGGTTGCGCGCGAACTTGCGCATCTAGATCCGGGCAGGCAACACTTGTTTGCACCGACGACGACCCAGTGCATGCTGAGAATTGTTCCATCGCTTTTCATTCGCAACTTTGGGGACGGTTGGTCTCTACTGAGTCTGGATGTGTCTGACGCTTTCTTGCAGTGCAAGCAACAGCATGATACCTTGACAAAAGTTGATGGAAAATGGTATAAACTTTTCCGAATGCTGCCTGGGCAACCGGACGGATCTGCTACCTGGTTTCAAGATTTTATGTGTGAAATCCGCGCAGCTGTTGCTGCTGAGCCATTGGCAGAGCAGCCAGTGTTGTTTCGCATCCCACATGCGGAAGGCAACCACAAGTGCCAAGGAGGTGGAATGGTGCATGTAGACGACATGCTTGCGGCAGGATTGACCGCACGCCTTCAGGAGCTTGAGAATCACTTGAAGTCAAAGTTCAAAGTGTCCAGTGAATGGATCCGCCAAGTCGGCGACGAGGTTTCCTTCTTGAAGCGGCGACTGATCCTAGTCAGCCCCAATTTGCTGGTTGTTGAGCCTGATATCAAATATCTTGAGAAACTCTTGAAGATCACTGGACTAGATGGTGCCAAGGAGCGGTACAAGGCGGCCCCGTTCCCGACTGGAGGCCTGCCGACAGACCTTTCATCGGACCGCGAGCTGAACTCAGAGTCAGCATCAAAGTATCGCTCAGCACTTGGTATCTTAATGTACCTTGCTTCTGACCTGTTGGCGTGTCAATTTGGGATTCGGTTCTTGTCCACACATGCTCACAAGCCTACCGAAGGCTGCTGGAAGTTACTGAGGCATCTGACTGCCTATGTGAATTGCCATAAGTCACATGTGCTTTGTTTGGCAAAACCCCAGCTTGGGCAAGGACTGATCTGCAATCGCGTGTCTGAGCAGAAAACTTCTACCCTCGAAATGTTCTCAGACAGTGACTGGTCCGGGGATAAGAAGACGCGCAAGTCCGTATCTGCATGTTGCATTCTTTGGGACGGGCAGCTGCTCCACTCGAGTAGCCAAACACAGAAAGTGATCAGTCTTTCTTCGTGCGAGGCTGAGTACAACTCCCTGGTTGCTGGTGCGGCAACTGCCATCCTCCTTAAGAATTGCGTCATACACTTGTGCCCGGAACTGCATATTGCACTAACATGCTTGTGTGACAATGCAGCAGCTAGGTCGCTTGGGAATCGCCAAGGAGTCGGACGGACTCGCCACATCGACGGAAAGCTGTTGTGGCTTCAGCAGATGACTCAGGAAAAGATGCTGGACATTTCACCGGTTGGAACCGCGGAGAATGTTGGTGACCTTCCCACGAAGCCGCTAAAGCCGGAGAGAGTTGAGTTCATCCTTGCACGGTTGAATGTTCGTGACAAGGATTGCAGCTATGCCTTGGTTGGGAACGCCCATTTGCTTGATCACAGGACGCGACATCATGTGAGTCGCATTGTGAAGCGAGGAGCAGTCAACCCACAGCTTGTGCTTCAGATCCTTGCATTGGCTTTGCAAGCAGATTCTGTCGCCAGTGCCGATGATGAGCCCAATACGCATCGCGATGACGCCTTGAGCCAGGGGACTGGCGAGCACGGTTACGGGGAGATGTTTTGGAATTTTCTTGAACAGTTGCTGTATGCGATTTTCTTGATTGCTGATTTTCTTGCAGAGCATCCCATGCCGAGTTTTATCGTGAGCCAATGCGTTATCATTGCAGTGCTGTGTGGTATCTTCTTGTGCCGTGGAAACAGGCCAGAAAGGTTGCGTGAGAAGGCAAGTGAGGCAGCTGCGTGCAGCGATGGCAGCGCGCCGCAGGTGATGCCGGGTGTGTGCGTCAATGTGACAGTCGAGGGAGCCAAAGTTTCGGTTGATAGTGTAGTCCCGAAACCTGCCGAAAACCCTAATCCTTGCGCCTTGGCTAGCCCTAAGAGTAGTGCCGGGCCGTGCAGTGCGAGTGTGCTTGGACAGAGCAGCGGCCGAGCTGCTGATGACCATGATGCTCCCGACCCGACAGCGCGATCATCCAATGGACCTGCGGTGCAGCCAAAAGCGCCGATGCAGCCGAAAGCACCGAACCCAGCAGTTGCATATGCATCTGTACTTGACCAGCGTATCAGAGATGAGCTTGATCAGCAGACAGTGTGGGTGACTAAGTCGCGTGGTTATGCATACCATGGCCGCCGGAGTTGCGGCAACTTGCATAATGCCAAAGCACTTGAGCGCCTTACGCGTGGAGAGGCAGTGCGCCGAGGCTTTAAGCCATGCAAAGCTTGCTACGGTGGCTGACTTGTTATAATGCTCTTGATGCGCCAATCCTTGAGTGCGCTGCTTCGGGCAGTGCACTGATCGGTTGGATTCTTGTACAAAGGCTGCTGGCGATGATGATTGTACATAGTCTTGTGTTTGAGCAAAACATGACAGGACTTCGAAACAGCATTTTGCTGTCAATCTTGATTAACGTACGAACTACTTTGGCAGCTGTGGAGCAGCTGCGAGTCCGAAGGAGTAGGCTCACGAGCCACTCGATGCAATTAGGCATCTCAATCCTTGTGCTGATCCCTTAGGAATCATGCTTCAACGTGGTGTGGCAGCTGCGAGCTGCACTGATGCCACATGCGCCTACGCTTGGGTGAGTCAAGCTATCGTCTCGTGGGCGACGCGCGCTCTCAGAGACGGTGTAACCTAGTCGTAGATGTACAGTTCTACGTAGTCGAACAACGTATCGAGCCAACGACCTTTTGGGGCAGTGCTCATGAAAAGTAGTCTGTGAGTCGAGTGCAATCTTGAACTAAGCAAGCTGTTGTTTCGTACGGGGTGAGGCAAACTAGATTATGCCGAAGACTTCAACCCGCGAGCTCAATGAAGCTTCGTAGGCGGGGTGTTTATTATTTTGCCTCCTAGGAAACCCCATGCATTTTATCATGATTTACTTTATCGTATTTCATGCACTCATGTGTTTCACATCGTGATTGCGCTATACTCCGCAGGCGTCTTTGAGGATTCAAAACATTTTCACTAAGGCAGATTCTAAGGGCGAGGGTAAGGGCCCCGGCAGTGGCAAGGGCAAGAGTGACCACGCGCTTTGGAGACATACACCTGATGGGCGTCAGATCTGTTTTCCTTACAACGCTCAGGGTTGTGACGGCAGCTGCGGGAGAGTCCATGTGTGTCGTGTCCGAGGGTGCATGCAATCCCACCCGATGTGGCAACACTTCCAGAGCTTGGCGTCGAAGGCGGCCGCACAGACCGGGCCCAGGCCACCAACTGACGTTCCGGACTCGCCGTGCTCTATCTTTTCGCTGGACGGGCACGGGGTGGAGATATCGGATCGCACTTACAGCAGCTCTGCACGTCGCGGGGACTGGATTTGTTTTTGCATGAGGTTGAGTTGCTACGAGGTCCTGAACAGGATATATCTTCGCACAGGCTTTGGGAGCGTCTCTTCAAGGAGATTTCGTCTGGAGCCTATGATGTTCTCATTTTGAGCCCGCCGTGTTCCACCTTTTCGCGGGCCAGGCATCGTTTTGCGGGGGCATTTGGCCCTCGACCACTTCGTTCACATGTCCATCTTCTGGGTTTTCCTTGGTTGCGTGATTCAGATCGCACAAAAGTGGAGCTGGCAAATTTTTTCGTGCAGCAGTCTTTTGAGGCCATCCGCTTACAGAGGCAACAGGGCTTATCCACACAGTCTCGCTCCGAGATAGTGGATTCTCTTGAGCCCGGACGAAGGCCCTCGCGTGGGCCGCCTTGGACCATTCTTGAAAATGACATGCGTTACAATTTTGCATTTTCTTCGTGTGCCCTTTTCTTGATTTCACTGAGCGACATGCATTTCCTTCCGTCTGCAGTGCGCGAATCACTCTCTTGATGATTGCAGTGCGAATGCTCAAGCTGAGCAAAAATTTTGTCGGGCTCTCTAAAGTCCCCGTAAAGTGCTGTCTAAGAGGTTCCGGGTGCTAAATCCAAGGCTTCGTAGCTCCTCGCGGCCGGGGGGGGCGTTGCATGGTGTCAAGGACGGATCTTGAAGAGTTCAGTCGGTACATTCAGTGCTCGCTGCTCAGCTTGGTGCGTGGGGCTTCGACTGAAGCCCGCAAGGACGTCGATAGTGCTAGAGCTGACTTCATTGATGCTTTGCAGTCCCTCCGGGACGACACTCTTGAAGCCTTGACATCACTGCACGCGCGTGCAGACACCCTGCTTGAAAATCAACATAGGCTGCAGGCCCAGCTTAATATCTTGCAGCGGCGCCTCACGTTCCTTGAAGGACAGGCGGATTGCACGGACGGCCCAGATTTTCTTCACACCTTAGACTAGGCATGGAGCCGAGCGGTGCCGCAGCACCTGCCCAAGCGAAGGCTGCAAATGATCAAGGTGGGGTTGGTGAGTTCACTTTCCCGCCTTCGCCGCCTCCAGGGGTCAGCGACCTCGCAGGCGATGTGCCCTTACCTCAGGTTTTCCCAGGCTGTGGCGAATCGTCTGAAGGCAGCTTTAGTCGTGTCAGCTTTGGCAGTGAGTGTGTTGAGAACGACCTGCACTTCCCTCTGCTTGAGTTCCCAGAAGACTGGGAAGACGATGCACCCGAAATTGCCACAGCTCGGACGCCTATGGACTTGGAGTCTGTGGAGCGGTCAAACAGGGAAGTGGCAAGTCTGATGCGAGACATTTTCGGAAGCGACGATTCTCATGTCGAGAATGTGGAATCGAGGACAGCTTCGGCCTCGGCTGCGCCCTGTGAGCAGGCGGCTTCTTCGATCCCCGATCTTGACCAGGCTATGTCGATTGCACATGCAGATGCCTCTGCAGATGGGATTAGCTTAGCAGCTTCAGGAGAGTTTGTGTCGACCGCTGGTGTCGCTGATGATGCACTGGGTTCCTTTGTAGGAGGGCTCGTCAAGCAAGATGTTGCTAGATTCGGCAGACTCGACGATGGTCTTAAGCTTCCGTGGGAGAGTGAGTTCTCCAAGCTGCTTTTCGACCCAGATTGCGTGTGGGACCCGTTGCAAGGCCGAAAGCAGGACTCGATCTTTCCGCCCATCACGCATAATGCCCAGGCTGCCCATCGACCTCCAGCAGGACCCAAGGAGGCTCCTTTAGGTTCGATTTTCGCTTGGGCCATTACGTTGGGTGCTGCAGCTCGCGATCCCGCCGCAGAGCGAGAGCGAAAGAGGGAGCAAGGGATCGGAATGTGGAGTAGGCTTGTGCTGAGGTATTCCGAGTGCTGCTCCCTTTATGAGTGTGTCTCTCAAGGATTGAGTGGCAGAGAAGCGGGCTATGAACCGCTCCGACTTGTCGGTAGCGCTTTCTAAGTAGACAGAACTGTAGGCTCGCAGAGCGAGCCGGGGCGGCTCCAGTATCGTGTACAGTCTTGCGGTATGTGGTAGTCTCACTCATAGCAGAATTTTTACATGTGATTTTCACGGTGAATTTTCATGAATGTTTTTCCTGGCATTTTCGGCATGCGAGATTCACTTTGTAATTTGATCTCAATCAGCATGGCCGCGCTCGCCCTCTCAAGCAACAGAAGGGCGGGGCCCAACATTCATGAAATTTTTGATTCTTCGGCCGGAGCCTCCCTTGCGAATCAACCTTGTGCAATTGCTTGGGGCCACGGCTCCCGGGGCTCGGTTCCTTTTGCTTGCAGGGGTCACTTGTTTTGACAGTTTGCAGCCCGTGAGCCGCGCAATTGCTGCTATCTTTGCAGCCATCCGAGAGCAGGTGCAGTCTGCTCGCCGGCGCCTGGCTCTTGCTTACAACCGTCCTTGACATGAGTGACTCCGCTCGCCAGGTCGATGAGCTTCTCAACACCATTGATCTTACAGATGTCGGGGGGATTGAGGATCAAGAAGCCTGTTCAGTCGTGCCAGAGTCTGACCAGAACATTCCTGCTGCACCAAGCTTAGATCAAGAGATTCCGGACAACCAGCTGTTGTCATTTCTTGAAGATGATGAGGTGTGGGACGGCCGATCCCCTAGCGCCCCAGACCCTTCTTGTGCTGCTGAGATTTCTGAATCGGAGAGGGAGTGGTACTTGATTGCGGGGTCGTTCGGGGCAGCCGCTGCGGAGTGCGCGCCTAGTGAGCCGTCACCACCGAACTTGGAGCCAGAGCAAACTCTGGCGGTCCCGGCCCTGGACAGCATCGCCGAGGACCAGTTGCAGCAGAGTGCCGTGGGGCATATCCATAAGAGGCTCCGCTTGGAAGCCCCACTCCTCCCGTGGGAGACACAACCGCTTGCCGCAATCTTCGGGGGCCCATCTTGGCATGACACCTTGCAGCGCCGGATCAATTTGGATCTAATGCCTGGGGTAGGTAGTGCCGACGTCCTTAAGCCTGCCGTGCCTAAGGTTCCTGCCCCTAAGCCCCAGATCGTAGCAGCGTCACTTGCGAACCGTCTTCACCGCTTCCGGCCGGAGGCTTCAGACGAAGATGTTCGCAATCTTGCCTTAGCCAAGCTCAAGGTATTGATTACTAGTGACCCTCTTGCCAGTGAGCTGGGTAAGTCCTTGATTGATAAGCTGGGAGGTCTGGTGCAAGAGGCTGTGGTAGCTCAGTCCTTTGCAGATGCTTTCCGTGCCAAGGCATCATCCACGCTCAATGGGCATGCTTGTGCGCTCACACGGTTCAGCGCGTGGTGTGCTCGCCAGGCGGCAGAACCTCTTCGAGTTGATGAGGAGCAGCTATATGCGTACTTGTGTGAAATGCGGTCCTCCAACCGGGGGGCTACTTCAGGAAACAAGTTTTTGCATTCTCTGACTTTCTTGGAGTACTCCGTTGGATTGATCTTCTTGTCAACTGATGTGGTGGTATCTGCGAGGGTTCGGGGCGTAGCTCGTGACATGGCCCTCACCAAGGCTCCGCTGTCTCAGAGGCCCCCACTCACTGTGGAACAGGCTGCGGCACTTGAGGCCCTACTTGTTAACGACCTGAACGATACTGACGCCTGTGTGCTGGGCCAGATACTCTTTGCTGTCCACTCTGCCGGCAGGTGGAGGGATATCCAGGGGTTGCAGTCCGTGGATGTCTCCGAAGGTTCTGAGACCACCCTGTTGCTTGCAAATGGCCTGAAGAGCAAGACCACCCATACGGCTGAGGCGCAAAGGAGGCTCTTGCCGTACGTCGCAATCTCCACTGGTGTCTCGGGTTATGACTGGGGTGACCGATGGCTCACCGCCCGAAGGAACGAGGGCCTTCAGTGGGGAGGCGACTTCTGCCTCCCTTCGTTCTCCTTGAGGCTGGGGCGGTGGAGCACGGCCCGCATGGGTTCCGGAGAGGCATCAGCATACCTTAGAGATTTTCTCGAGGCCGTTAATCTGCCGAACAGCAAAGTTGGGACCCATAGTCTTAAGACCACCTTATTGACGTGGGCGAGCCGCTCAGTTCGAATCGACTTCAGTGAGCCCGAAAGGCTGCACCTGGGCCACCACTCGGCCCCGGGCACCAGGTCGATGCTCGTATACAGCAGGGAGGCTTACTCCAAACTTTACGCTAAAGTCCTAGCGATGTTCAAGACGATTGAGGAGGGATCGTTCAATCCAGATTTGCCACCGGCCCGCCGGGTGGAGCACCTCGCCGAGGCCATCATGGTAGGGAGCTCGCAGGCGTCCAACTTGGGGCAGCACGCCCCAGCCGGGGAGGACAGTGCCTCCTCCGACGATTCCGAGGCGGGGATCCCAGAAGGTCACGGCGGGCGGCAGGCCGCAGACTTGGTTCGGGGGGCGTTCCCAGATCAGTTCCTTCAGGACATCGTGGTGCACAGGTTCTCGGGCATATCGCATGTCGTTAAGGACTCCGGCATGCTTTGGTGCCATCGGCCTGTAAGTTCGAACTACACGCCACTGTCCGAAGCCGGCGTTGCTGCTGAGTTCCCTACTGCATGCCATCAGTGCTCGAGAGCCCTGGGCCTGGTAGGTGACTAGATCTATAAACCCGTTGCGGCGGAACTGCGAAAAGAATTGCCTGTGTCGTGTCTGTCATGCTCTCTTTGACTCTCTTGTAAGTGCATGGGCGTAGTCTTCCTGAGGGGGACGACCCAAACGATGCGCTACCTTTGGAGCCGGGACAGCGAGCGTTGGCATGTCACTTGCCGCTTGTTACCCGTAGGCTCAGGAATCACGAGTCAAGCTGGAGAGTTAGCGACGGTCATGCATGGGTCCATGTCACACTTGATGCTGAGATAGGATGCAGGCTGACACTCTTAACACATTGCTGCTTACATCATTAGCATCCAGCGCTGATCATGGCTTCAGGTCTCGACTCTTCTGCTTACTTCCTCGAGCGGCTCGCGAAGGTTGGCTTGTCTAATGAGCTGAGGGACGCGCTGGCCCGAGCCGGGTACACGACCTTTGGGGCTCTTGCCTTTGCGGTCTCCTCGACCCCGGGTGCAGCTAGCGATGAGGCCGTCTCCCGGTGGGCGCAGCACCTTGCAGATCCGCTACCGAGTGAGCACCAAATGTCAGTGTTGCGCCGCTTGCTCTTCGAAGCGCAGTCAATGTCGATTGCCGAGATGCGTGACCGGGTAAATCAGGCGCCAGGCGAGGCTCCCACTCGCAAGCTGCCAATGATAGAGCGGGCTGAAAGGCTCAAAGCCCTGCGTCGAAAGTTGCCTGGACTTATCTTGACCCCGGACACTCTGCCAGCAAACCGCTTAGTGGATAACTACGTTGACCAGCTTGATTCGGGTGTGCTCAGCTACGTGAAGCCAGACGCGTGCATCAGCCGAGCACAGGAGATGGACTCCAACAAGAGGGATCCGACCTTGCAGGTACAGGGAAATGAGCTGAAGCTTGCCGCCAAGCAAGTGGAGCTGAGGTGCTCCATCAGCACTGACATGCAGTTGAGGCAAGCTTGGACTCGGAGGTCCCTTGCGATGGAGCTTGCGCAGCTTGCCTCATACACCGTGCTAGAAACCTGGGTTCAAAGCCTGTTCTCGAGGATGCAGCGGGAGCCTCCTGCGGGGTATCACTCAGTCTCGCTCTCTCAGGTTATGGCTGCAGACCGGGAGCTTTTTCAGCTGTTGTCGCACAACCTTATGGGGCAGATCCAAGCGTCGGCTGGCGCTGCTCGACCCCTCGATCTCGAGATCGAAAGCTTAAGCAAGAGCACTGACGTGCTTGTGCACTTGCTGCCGCTTGTGAAGCCTCCTCCGATGCCACACCCGACAAAGCGACCTCATCCCGATCCTAAGCTCCCGCATAAGACTCCCAAGGGGAAAGGCAAAGGTAAGGCCGCTGATCAAAACCAGGACGATGGGAAGGCGCCTAAGTACACATTGCCCGATGGATGTGTTCCCAAGAGCGAGGACGGCAAACCCTGGTGTTTCCTGTGGAATCAGGGCCGATGCAAGTTCAAGAATCCAAAGAAGGGCCGATGCCCTCGGGGCTTCCACGGGTGCTATTACCGAGGGTGTGGCAGGCCAGTGCCATTCATCGAGTGCACTCACACCGATCCCGCCTGAATGGCGGGGGCCCCCGCGGGTCCTGAGCATGAGACCATGCCCGAGGGGGCCGCGTCTCCCAATCCAATTTTGGCTGAGGGCCTCAGTGGCCCCGAACCACAGGATGCCGAGAGCTTCGCTCTGAACCTCCTGGCGAAGGCCGAGATCCCCGCATCTTCTGTGGCTCAATTGTCATTCCTTTTGCCATGCGATTCCAGTGTTCGGCCGTCAAGCGGCCCCAATGCCTTCCTTTTCAGCTGTGGTGCTTATGTCCACGGGGGTGTCACGGGTACTTTTGCTAATACTCGAACCCTGCCTGCATGCACCCAGCTCCTTGCGCGTTTTGCAAAGCAGTTCGTCGGGGACTCTTTTCCATTTACATCCCTTGTGCTCCTTCGGGACAACCTCACTCACATGCATCGTGATCGTAATAATACCGGCCTTAGCGCGTTGATCCGATGTTCAGATTTTGAGGGTGGAGGTCTATGGGTTGCCGACCCCAAGGGCTCCTCGCCCATGCAGTTCGAAGGCAAGGTGCATCAGGGCTCCACTCGGGAGCTTGACCGCTGCCTGTACTTTGATCCGCGTCTTTTGCATTGCACCTTACCATGGTCCGAGGGTCCTCGAATTGTCCTTGCAGCCTACTCGGTTCGAGATGCTTGTATACTCCCACAGGCCGATGCTGACTTGCTGCTCAAGCTTGGATTCGTTCGGGGCCCGGGCAAAGTTGAAGTGCCCTCGACTGTGGACTTGCAGCCCAATACCCAGGCTTCCCCTAGTGGTTTAGGCCCTGCTTGCAGTCTCCCTTTGGGTGTTGGCGAGCCAACTTCACCGAGCCCAGCAAAGCTGGATCCGCCTGCCAAGCGACCCTTGTTCATCGAGCTCTTCGCTGGATCCGCAGGACTGTCTCGGGCCATGCTCGACTTTGGGTTCGAAGTCGTTACCTTTGATCATTACGTCAACCACCCTAAGGCCCCGGTCTGTAAACTGGATTTGGCCACTGCCTCTGGGCAATCGGTTGTCTGGGATCTTCTTCAAGCCCGAGTGCCCTTTGCCGTACATCTCGCGCCTCCGATTCTTGCTGGCCATGAGGCCCTTTTGGTGTTCTGTTGTGACGTCGTCGGCTGGTGCACCCAACATGATGTCGTCGTGTCCCTTGAACAGCCTGACCGAAGTGAAAGCTGGGCCCTGCTCACGTCGATGGCCCGATCGCGTCTCCCCGCCGCGGGCCTGTCCAAATGGGCTGGCCTCCAGAAGATCGTGTACCCCCTCTGTATGCACGGGGGGTCGAGCCGAGCCCTGACTCGTCTCCTTTGTACGGCTCGGGTTTTTGACACTCTGGCTGTTGCTTGCGACGGCAAGCATTGGCATGGTCCGCGCCCCGGACCTTGGGCTGCACCTGCAGCCTACCCGCCGGTCCTCTGCCATCGCCTAGCCGGCTGCCTGCTCCAGTGTGCCAAGGCTCGGAATACTGCCCCGGGGCCGCTCTCCCGAATTAAAGAGGCCTCGACTGCTGCGGTGGGCCGCCAAACAAAGCGCCATGCCCCTTTAGTGCCCGAGTACCGCGCCTTTAGGGTAGTCCCGTCGGGTTCTAAGCTTCAGCCCTCCGAGCGCATCCTCTCTGCCAAGTGCGCGGGGGGATCAACCGAGGATGGACCCGAAATCTCGGGGAAGCAGTGGAAACTGGGGATATTGCATTCTCCCCCTGAGTTTCTGAATAAGGCCTTAAGCTGCCCTCACCCCCTTGATGCTGCCAGACCGTTGTCTAAACACTTTCTGGATGCCCTTAAAGCTGTGATGACGACACCTCCTAAGGTCTTAGAGCTCAAGAGGAAATTGGCGATTGCTAAGGCTGAAATTCTTGTCAAGAAGCTTAGCTGCTCTGAGAAGACTAGGCACAATGCCCTACCGGATCATATGAAGAAGGTGCTTGAAAGCAAGAATCTTTCTCTCTTCGAGGCGCTCCTCAAGGAACATGCGTACTGGGACATGGGGGTAGTCCAGCTCATGGAACAGGGAGTGGACCTTGTTGGGTTTCAGGACACCCCTTCTTGCTATCCCCAAAAGATTGCTCCTGCCACCATGTCGAGGGACGAGTTCCTTGACTCCGCCGAATGGAGGCGGCGGGCTCTCACAACACCCGGCGCCAGGGCTCCGGATGCCGGGCAGCTCGCCCACCTTGAGCAGACATGCAAGGAAGAGGTAGACCTTGGGTTCATGCTGGGACCCTACACGGAGGATCAAGTGTCCCGGCTGTTCGGCCACACTCGCTGGTCGTGTATCCGGCGGTTCGTCTTGGAGCAGAAGCCGGGGAAACTTCGGCCCATTGATGACGCAAAGGAAGCGCTCGTGAACAGCGCCAGCACCTCAACGATGCGACTCGAGCTCGAGGACGCCGACTACCTGTCTGCTATGGCTCTCGAGGTTGCCCGACGCATCCTGGCTGACCCTTCCAAACCCGGTGCGGTGCCATGGGTAGCCAGGTGTCTTGACTTGACTAAAGCCTACAAACAGATGTGTGTTTCGGAGCGTGACCTGCCGGTCTCGGTGGTCTTCTTTCTTGATGGACAGGGTAAGCCCAGGTACTACGTGAGCCACTCGCTGTTATTCGGGTGCACATCGTCAGTATTTGCATTCAACAGGGTGTCCAAAGCAATCTCCTTCCTGTTGAACCAAATGTTGCTTGTGCCAAGCTCCGTGTTCTACGACGACTTTCCTCTTCTGTCACCGAACAACACAAGTGACAGCGCAACATGGGCCACAACCGCACTGCTTGATCTTCTGGGCTGGGGTCACGCCCGCGTGGGCAAGGACGCTAAAGGCGTTCCATTTGCGGCAAGCTTCGAGGTCCTTGGGATGTCGATGCAACTTGATGGTGTTCACCGTGGACGCCTGACCCTTCAGAACAAAGCCGGACGTATCGAGCAGCTCGTGGCCTTGTTTCAGGGATTTCTTGACAGGGGTGCCATCACGGTGCACGAGGCACAAGTCGCCCATGGACTCTTGAACTTCTCTGCAGGCTATGTGAATGGTCGGGCCTTACGCTTAACATGCCAGGAGCTCCTTCGCTTGACAAAGGCTTCGAGCCCCGCCTCTTCGAAGGCGATCCGCAGCTTCTGCGTCAACAGCATTGAGGCCCTCCGTGCACTTAGCCCACGCGTGCTCAGTGTGTGGGACAGCCGAGCCCCAATACACATCTTCACGGACGGTGCGTGGGAGCAGCGCCGGGCCGGAATCGGTGCCGTCATCTTTGACACAGCTTCCGGCAAGTCGTGGACTTATGAGGGTCTCGTCCCAGAGCCACTCATCCTCCGATGGGAGGCCGAGGTCGGGACTCAGCTCATTTGCCAGATCGAGTTGTACGCTGTGGTATGCCTGAGGTGGGCCCTGGCTTCCACCCTTGACCACAGGCGCTTGATTTGGTGGATCGATAACGAATCGGCACGCTATGGTCTGATCAAAGGCATTTCGGATAGTCCTTCGATGTCATCCTTGATTCAGTCTTTTGCGATTGCAGACTCCAAGGCACCTTCGTACAGTTGGTACGAGAGGGTCCCATCCTTCTCTAACATCGCAGATGGCCCGAGCAGGGGTGATTCATCAGAGGCCCTGGCCGTCTGCACCGACAAGGTGGGAAACGACTACCCGCTTGACCAAAGCCTCACCCGGAGGCTCTTGTCATCTTGATGCGTTGCTCACTAGCTCCTGCACTCGGGGCACCTAGCCATTCGACGGGGGGATGTTGTGCCCCGTAGATCTCGTAGGCCTTGTGCCGAGGTCGGGGCAAACCGGGATCGTTTCACGAATTCCCCCGATCGGCTATGCAGCAAAAAAGTGTCCGTGCGAGTGCGATTGAACTTCACGAGTCCGTTGCAACATATGTTATGACTTGCGGACCTTTTTATATTATATATGATTGGAATCGAAGCTTTTCCGTTTCATATGTATCTTGGAAAGCTCCACCTCATGTTTGAAATATTCTAGATTTTTGAGCTGCCCCAGTTTTGTATAATTAGAAGAACCGCTCCGACTTGTCTGTAGCGCTTTCTAAGTAGACAGAACTGTAGGCTCGCAGAGCGAGCCGGGGCGGCTCCAGTATCGTGTACAGTCTTGCGGTATGTGGTAGTCTCACTCATAGCAGAATTTTTACATGTGATTTTCACGGTGAATTTTCATGAATGTTTTTCCTGGCATTTTCGGCATGCGAGATTCACTTTGTAATTTGATCTCAATCAGCATGGCCGCGCTCGCCCTCTCAAGCAACAGAAGGGCGGGGCCCAACATTCATGAAATTTTTGAACCCACCCACCCTCCCTAGGGGGGATATTGTGCCCCGTAGATCTCGTAGGCCTTGTGCCGAGGTCGGGGCAAACCGGGATCGTTTCACGAATTCCCCCGATCGGCTATGCAGCCAAAAAGAGTCCGTGCGAGTGCGATTGAACTTCACGAGTCCGTTGCAACATATGTTATGACTTGCGGACCTTTTTATATTATATATGATTGGAATCGAAGCTTTTCCGTTTCATATGCATCCTGGAAAGCTCCACATCATGTTTGAAATATTCTAGATTTTTGAGCTGCCCCAGTTTTGTATAATTA